TTTGGGAAGGTAAAGATGTACATATATTAATTTTTATACATTTCGATATTAATATCTTTTAAAAAGATTTTAGAGAAACTCTCTCAAATTAATATAGTATATTTAAAAAAATTAAATATTTAGATATTAATTTTAAGATTTAAAGTTTATAATTTAATTTATAAAATAGCATTTACCTATAAATAGATTCAAATTTTTTTAGTGAAAAGAAGGTTGTCTCTCACAATTTTATAAGTAAAAATTTCGCTCTGCTCAGCTGAGAAAATAATCTTCAGTATCAAAAGTTTAATTAGTTATATTTCCATATAACTAGCTAGTTAACAACCCAGGAAACTTCTTCCTACTAAAAAACATAAGAAGAAAATTCCTTAATCCATAATCAGTTAACTCTCCAAATAACAAGTTATATTTTTATCCCAAGCGTTAAAATAGCTTTGAATTAGTAAAAACATTTCTGTTAAAATAATAATTAATAATACAGCATAAAACAATCTTCGGCCTTTCTAAGCTGTTCATTAGTGTCCACATTTTGGAGAACAGAGAATGGTAGTTTTAGAAGAGGATTTTTCTTTTGTCGATTTGAGAGCTTTCATTTTCAATTCTTTTTCTCTTCTTTTGATTTTTTAGAAATATTTATCTCCTCTTTTTCACTTTTAGAAGTAATTCATGTCCAGAAAATATTTAAAAAATTGAATTCGTGGGTAAGTTACAAAAATGGCCAGAAGAAAGAGTAAATTACAAAAATTCCTTTTGAATCCAGTTAAAAACTACATGTTAGTCCGTATACTTGTCAAAAACTAATAAAAAAACAGTTTTCCCTTTAGCTTCGGCATAAGTTACACTTTAATCCGAACTTGAAATCTGTCAAATTAAGGAAGATCATGACTACATCATCTTGTTGTTTAACCTTCTAAAATCGTTGCCTTTCTTAGACAAAGCAAAAGAATAGCTGCAATTTGGGGACGAGGAGAGGCCTTGGGGTTCCTCTCCCCTCTTTTCTTTACTTGTCTTTTATTTTTTAAGTTTTCTTTGTCCTATTACTGGGCAAGTTTGTTCGCTTTGGGTTAGGACCCGTTCTTTATCTAGGTTTTGTCTAGCAGGTTTCGTCCCTCTTAGTGACAGTGAGGATAGGGTGTATTTTGATAGATCCAATGTGTTCTGTTGGATATTTTCAACTGCTATGGCATCTCAAGGGTTTCACAATTTCTTTGGACACAACAAATCTCCACTAGGCATGTCGACGACTCAGGGATGATTCAAGTACGAATTTTCGAGTTTAGGGCTTTTTATTTTGTTTTTATTTCTAAGGAGTGCTTTACCTGCTTTGATTTTCTTTTCATAAGAGTCATTAGATTTTCCTCATTCTAGCAAAGTTGAGTAAAATTAGAGACAGTTGCAATTGCAATATGAGATATGATGTCCCCTTTAAATTTGTAATATTTTAAATTTTTTTTTATTTTGATTGCACAATAAAAAACAATTATCTTTTATTCTTTATCTCATTCCATTCAACTTAAACTCAGGATCTCTTATTTTCAATGAAAGAAGATAATCACTAAGTTACTAAGTTGATGACAATATTCTCATATTTAAAATGAAATATCTTTAAATTTAATCTAAAAAGATGAAAAGGAAGATGATGACATCATGGAAAGGGCTATAAAATATTTCAACTACCCTTGTTTGACGAAATATGAGATATTGTTAAAATTACTTCTTCATTGAAAACAACAGCCATACCATTACTAACATTCATTAACAATAGTGACATTTTAAAATAAATTAACGCATATTTATGTATTTTTTAAGTAAAAATAGTTAATAAAAACAAACTGGCCCTTCGGGATTAATAGTTCATCTCCAACAGTGCTTGTGTTCAGTTAAAATAACTATTCAAAAAATTTCCCCTTCCCCCATATTTCCCCCTTTCAAAAAAATAAAAAATAAAAAATAAAAATTATGAATCAATTCATTGTGGATGTCTCACCTTCTTCATCTTTTCACCTCCCCACTTTCTATGAAATTTATACACTAAGTAATGGTGTAACTCCCACTACCTTCATGTAATTACAATGATGATTAACACTTCATAATGCCATGCACTTAGATAGTGATAATGAGATTCCTTGTAACTCCTCCATTAGTAAGAGATTAATCATTGTAACCTCTCATTTAGTGGGTGTTAATTTCTTGTAACTGTTATCCCATATTGGCCCCTATATATTGGCCCCTATATATAGGGCTTGTACTTTTACAAATGTATGGAAATGAATGGAGAATAAATGAAGAAAGGAATGAAAATATAATATATCTTTACATTGCCTCACTCCGTTTCTCTAATTTTTCTTCTTCTTCTAAATCGTTCTTTTTTAATTTTATAATACGTTATCAGCATGACTTGCCTCTATATGAATTACTCTTCATGAATCCTATTTGAGGTGATGAACCAATTGAGGCAAAGACATAAGTTGAGCTAAAGTTTTGAGGTAAGATTTTGAGACAACTTATTCTTTCAATTTCTTGTTTTCTAATTTGAATATTTTATGGTGTTATAATGATTTACTTGTTTATATGTTATTTTGCACTTGTCAAAAGACTTGAGTTCATTGCCGTTGATAAATTGGGCTCCAACTATTTGTCATAAACTCTTGATGTGAAAATTCTTTTACCTCAAATGAATCTTAAAGATTCAATTGTGGAAGGGACTAAAGTATCTCTTAAAGAGAAGGTATTTTTGAAGAAAATGGCATCTTTGAAGGGTTGCAATAAAATAAGATCTCTTCTATGAAGTCCAAAAAGGACTAAGAGATGAATATTTGATGATGAATGATTTATTGGAATCATGGAATTGTTTGGAAGAAAGATGATGATCAGAAGAAATTGCAATTCTTCTAAAAAGTTAGCTATGAATGGATCTATTTATTACTCGAGTATGCATCCACAAATATTTTGAATTACTTCATGCATAGAAAAGTTATTATTGATGAACAAATATAAGAGAAGATACATTCTTCCTTTCATGCCTCGAATATGCTTCAAAAGTAATAATTTCTAGAGGGTAATTTTAACATGTATATTTAAAGTATATACATGTCTTCTTGTTGCCAACAAAATTATGAATTGATGAAATCCTCAATCACAACCATTGGTTTGATTCTATTCCAGGAAAAGATTGTGACATTGTGTTATGATCATGGTTATGCATATGGTTATGAAATAAGACTTTGCAAAATGAAAAGATTTGTAGAATAAGTTGGCAAAGAATTTGAGAATTCTTAGATGCGATATAAATCAATATTGGTCAAATATCTTTTTTATATCCAAGCAATTTATGTGCTTATCATATATCTTCAAGCATTTACTTGATTTGTTTCAAGTTTTATCCAATGAGAAGGGAAAAGTTGCAAAGACATATTTTTGTGGAAAATGATATTATGGACACACACTTGTGATATTTATGATACACAATTTTATATTAAACTTGGATATATTATATCCATTTTGGGAATACTAGGAAAAAGTATCTCAAACATTTGAGAAATTAAATACATATCCCAATGTGTGGATTGTAAATTAAAAGGAGAATCTTTTGAGATCAAGTCTCCTCAATAAGAATTTATTTCCAATGAAGAGATGAGATACAAGAATACATCTATAAATAGATATGAATTTTATAATAATATTTCTTATATCCCAAATTTTGAAATTCATATTAATCTAATCTAATATCTCTCAAAATGGAGGTTACATATTAATGGAGAAATACTTTAAAAAAATGTATTTTTATTATAGTGATGAAATCAAGGATAAAAAGTTATAATTATGTAAAACATTTCTATCACACAATGAATGTATAATGGTATCATTGTGATAAGTGAAATGTGGCACATGCATTCTTATAATACAAAATGTATAATAATGGAACAGAACTTGACAAATTGTGTGTCATTTTTCAATGTGCAAAAGGTATCGTGATGAAATATCCTAAAAAAAAATTTCCCAATTACGCTTAACCTGAAGTTAATATGAATGTTTCATATTACAAGCTTAATTAAAAAATCCAAAAAGCTTATATATTGTTTGCTATTGGCTGCTCTTGAAAAGCTTGAATTTTGCAGCTTGGATAAACAAAATATTTAAATATGTGACTAGTTGCATTTTAATAGATTGTATTGGAACCTACTAAACTTTAAGAGCACAAAGATATAATGGTTATTATGCTGAAACTATACATGAGA